ATTGGTCAGCCGGTTAGCGCGGTCGATGCTAATAATGAAAGCACACACACACAGAACCAGACATGGACAAACAGGGAGAGGGAGACACAGACCGCAGCGAGGGCGAGACGGCGGGAGAAGGGTGTGCCATACACTGCTGCTGTTAGCTATCGGCGGAGGAAGCGAGAGGATAGATCAACATTTGGTTGCAGCAACAGCAGCAGCTGTGCTTCCGAAATTCGCTTGTTGGTTCGAGCTTTGATCGAGAAATCTCAAAAAAAAGCGTTCAAGCGTGTGATGGGTACGTAATGAGGCTAGCACGGGAGGAACTGGTCGCACACTAGGCCTTCGCGCACAAAAGTGTAGTCTAGAGAGACGTACAGCAGTACATGTCGCACCAATGGTTGTGCGTCGCAGCGTCTGTGTGTTGTTGGTGTCATGTGCCCCTCTCCGCGGAAACTGAGAGAGAGAGGCCGCCGCTGCTGCTAGAGGTAGCCTACGATGATGTACCCTATCGTCCGATACTCAAAAAACAGTCATTATTCGTTCTCACGCCCGAGAACGAGCTGTTGTTGTTGGCGCGAGAGGTAGGTGAATCAATTAAGCGTTCCTTAATTGGCCGGTTTACTCTAGACTATGCATATATACGCATCGTATTCACTTGAGTTTTGCGTCCCCTTCGTCCTGAAGCAGTCGAGCTTCAGGTGGTAGTCTTACCCGACCTGAAGACTACTACACTACTACTACTAGAAGACTACTACTGCTGCTGCTGTGCTGCTGCTGTACATGCGCAGCAGCAAGTGGCACAAATATTTGTGAGTGCGCCACGGTTCGATTCCGTCCGCCTGCTCCGGTTCCGCTCCTCCGGTGCCGCTGCTCCGGTGCCGCTGTGGCCAGTCCTAGCACGACCAAACTCGACCCGCTCCGCTTCGTACACGCTCTCGTTGCTTTCCTTCCCAGTTGGTTTCCTCGCTTTCTTCCTCGTTGCAGGGTTCTTACCAGCCCGATCAGCTCGTCACCACCTGTCCCCTCCTCCTTTGATGGCAAAACCAGGTTACTGAGACAGTACAGCTCCCTCTAGCAAACCTAGGGCCGTGTACATAGTGCCCGTCCACCTTTCTGATGACGTCTGCCTCCGCGCACAAAGATGAGATGGGCATTGCTGCCTACACCGACGGCCTGGAGGCCCGCGCATCTGCACCTTTGTACCTGACGCACCAGTGCCGACCCAACTCCACCACTACGCACGCCTCGCGGCGGGTGCGCCGCAGCAAGAAGGTATCGGTCCCCTGAGGGTGAGTCTAGCCCTACTCGCTAGAAAGACCCCCCCCTCGCTATGGGTCGTGCCTACGCAAAACCTTGCCGAGGCAGCGCGGGGAAGAGAGGGGGGTGTAGATAGATTCGGATTTGTTGTGTGATTAAGAAAAAAAAAAATGTCGCTGCGGGGGGGGCGCAGTTAGGACTGAAGAACACCTCCTTCAAATCAAACACAGAGGTCGGGAGTTTGTCCTGTTTCTAGCCTGAGCCTGGATAACTTTTTCGGTTGCCCTGCCCTGTGGTTCCTGCCCTCTCTCTGCTTATCTCTCCCCCTCTCTGTCGCTCCTCCTATCTCTCCTTCCCTCTATCCGTCTCTCTCTTGGGTATCCTTTGTGACGAAGAGAGGGAGAGGGGGCTGGCTAAAAGCCACCCAGCGGAGGGAGCTAGAGCTCATAGAGTTCAGGCGGAAAGGGTTTTGTGTCTGCTGCTGTGTTTCTGTTGGGTCGTCATACTTACTACATGTGGAGGCACATTGGACCAGCAGCAGCAGACAGCAACGGTTTCGCTTCCTAGATGCCTCCTCCTCAGCATGCTCAGGGATTTCAAGATAAGGATGGCCGACCTTCTGTAGGAAATGCTGGTGGAGGAGTTCGACCCAGCGATGTTTCAGTCCCAGCAGGTGTGTTGCGTCTTGAAAACGTTTGCCGCTGCTGCTGTTGCGCTTCAGGTACTGCTGTAGGCAGACATCTGTCTCTCCTCATCTTCCTGCTGATGCTTTAGGCCGATTCCTCTTGACGGGCACACGCAAGCCTGCAGGTCGATGTTCAGTGAATTTTCTTGATTGCAGTCAGCTCCGGTTGACCTATAGAAGCACTGGCTGGGGCCCAAAAGCCTCGCAAAACAGGTCTACGTGTAGGGTCGAGCCGATAAGCTGTCTGCCAGCAAGTTCATGTAGGTGGAATTTACAGCTGGAAGTTTGGAAGTTCGCTTGTATTTCAGGCAAGTTTAGAAAGAAAAAAAAAATGCCTTATGATCTATTGTTGTTGTTGTTGTTGTTGTTGTTGTTGTTATTGTTGTTGTTTTCACCGTTCCGATCTCTCTCTACCCAGTACCTTGGTATGTCCGTACTGATACAACACTCGACGCGGTCGATTCCCGTGGTCGCAGGCTAACTTACCCTCAAAAGGTACACTCAAATAAAATGGCCCCGAGGGGTCCGCAACTCATGTATTATAATGTGCTGTATCTGCGTACTCTGTAGTTTCGGTCGCCGTTGTGATATGCATAAATTATTGTTGTGATCGATGCCTATATACATAAGAATCCAGTTTCAGGAGAGAACCACGTCCCGTTCGGGGTTTCGGATGTACCGATAAAAATGCTATGCATACAGAAGCCGCACTATTTTACCCGCTCTATCTTTTACCATCTTCTTTGGGTACGGAGTGGAGTACCTATTTTTGAGTTCCCGACACCACGGCAAATGGCGGGCGCTGCTGCACTCGCTGGCGTGGCTCGGCTGTTACTTAAACTCTTAATATTTCACGAGCGTGGGTACAGCAGTAGTCATGCATGCAGCACATCGAACCACCGTCACTTATGATAATAGTAATAGTACGGCTGCATTGTTGGTATCGTTCGTTCAGCAGGTCATCAGCGCGATTGTGGGGATGAGTGTATGTATGCTGTGGGTCGGGGTTCAACAGTGTGTATCATGTGTTTCAATAGTGTTGTACGGCCGGGGAGAGATACGATGATGTCCGCGCGCACTATCTAACTCGATGAGAAGCTATTCGCTCGCTGTGTTTTTTTTTTCAGGTAGTGTACAGCTGCGCCAGGTAGGGACTATGCAGCACGACCGCTGTTTATTATGGTAGCCCGCAACGCTTCGGCCATTCGAGCAGCGAACGCTTTATGTCGAGAGCAGGATACCCCAAGAGAAATAGTGCCGGGCGAGCCCGCAAAGGTTGCGAGGGAGTTTGTGATCGTGCAGACCAGGCCGGCATCGATCATGTCAATGGCGATGGCGATGGTGATGCCACACCATGTGTTCCCAACTACATCACGTGTTCTGGAGCGGGTGAAGCTGCTCTGCACTCCCATCCGCCATGACTGCGCCTTCCACTGCTGTCACTGCTGCTGTGCAATTCAGCAGCTGTGTTTTCTCTCTCTCTGACTACTTCCATGTATCGTGGTAATTCGGGCTGCGAAGCAACAGCAACAACTAACTCTCCTAAGATATCCAGTTTTCATATTACAATTCTACGATGTCGCAAGGTGTCCTCCGTCCGAGGAATCGTCGAGACGATTCCAACACTGCTGTCAGACGTACAGTAGTACGAGTCATGACCTGGTTGTTAGCGCTACCTCTCTGGGCTACTTTCTAGCTCCGTTGCTTGAAATAAATATGCTCACCATAGTGGGCTTGGTGAAGGTACGGTAGTATCATACTGTGACTCCGCGGATGACGTTCTACAATCACTAGAAAAGTGGGGGAGGGGGCGGATGTACTCAAACTTGTAGATCCTCTTGAGTCAATCAACGCCCGTTTTTGGCTTGGTTGTTCCGACACGTTTAGCCATTTCGACTTCCCTCCTGTCGTGCTCTTGTCATGTCCTCCCTTTTCAGGAGGCAACGGGACCAATGCTGCTGCCGCCTTCTATGCGAAGCCCCTAACCGAGAAGGAAATGCTGGCTGCCGACGAAGCCAAGGACAAACTGGATAGGATGGTCAAGGTACAGTTCGTAGTTGTATGGTGTCTGACGCGGCGCGTGTTTCCCCCGATGTCTGCCACTACGACCAGCATGTTAAGGGAGCTCTTCTACTTTTATAAGGCAACGGCGCTGGTTGCCGCCTGTGGATTCCGTGTGTCCTACACGCGTGGACCCATCGAAGTTGGGAATATGTCGTGAGCGCGATGAGAGATGGCCGTGTGGAATGGATCAAGGGGAGTCGGCACTGCTGATCGGTGTCGTTTTTGGCGAATTCACCACCGTTTCAGGAGTCTTCTACCCATGTGTGCTGTTTTGGAGCTTTGGTTGACTGTTTTTGCTCTTCGACTTGTAAATGACCGTTGTCTCTGTATGTATGCATACCGCTGTTGTTGTTGGTTGTTGATAGTTGATGTCATGTGATTTTTTTTTCTACTGTATCCTTGCACCACAGAACGTACACATCCGGTGGGCTTTTTGCACAGTACCGGCAGACGCGGAGGCTGGATTGCGATTATAAGCAGACACCCACGCCATGCCGATGCTGTAGCCATGTGGCCAGTGCGTCGATCACGTGCACAAGACGCCTGCGGTGTGTCGATGTGTCGATCATGTCCTACCCCCACGCTTTATGTCGTACATTGAAGACAACAAATAGTCTACATGGATCGGGGTTTGCTCGAGGGGATGTACGTGCTGCATGTATGAACTTGTTCTGCTCTCCTTTCCCATCTTGCGAGATCGAATGAGATAATCAAGTTGCTGAGCCAAGACAGTAAGTGCTGTCGGTAAAGTGCTTTCGCGACCGCTGTGCTGTGTGTTGGTCCCACCCAATCTGGCACCAGTCTACGGGCCACATTGTGTGCTGTGACGATGGTTACTTCCAACCCGCTCGCTCTCTAACCCATGGCGACGTGGTTAGTTTAGACCAAGCTTGACTTCGTAGACACCGCACGCATGGCTCACCTGAGATTTTAGCCATGCAATGACCGATACTTGAAGCACTTTAAGAATCTCGTAAGGACAAAGTAGAATTGTGTAGTAGGGTAGTTGTACATGGAACGCGAGGGTGGTCGCGTGCGACCACACATACGGTAGATTATTAGTTTTCTGTATCTCTCGACCACCCTAACCCTAACCGGCGCCGAGCTCGGGCTCTAACCTCGTTACTCGCTCGCACCATCATGTTGTGTTGTACTTTTTTGTAGGTGGAGGCCTTGGTAGGCAAGCGAAAACGCTTCTTTTCTTACCTGAAGAAGACACACGAGGAGGGCGGCTTCTGGTTGAACTGCGTTCAGCTCACGCGACAGGTATGCAACAACAATCACGAGGCTTGGCTTGATTTGATGTGTATGGCTACAAAAGAAGTGTCACTTGGAGAGTTTCGTTGCGAATGGTCGGCGGTGTTGACGTAAGCGTTGCCGATCAGTCTGGTCAACCCTACCGTTGGTTTGGTGCTTTCGGGTGCTTTGGAGGTCGAGACGACACGTCATCGAAATCGGTACCTTGCACAGCTGTTTGGGGGGCGGGGGGGATTTCGCAGCGCATCAAATCATGGAATCATGCATTCAATGGAGCGCCTGATAGGTGCCACGCTGAGCGCATGTCGAGTGTGGCAAACAAGCACCTTTGCACCACGGTGGCCGTCAACCACATTACTGTACCATTCGATGTTGGGTAGTCGATGCGTCGGGTTTCATGATCGTCCAGAGCACTTGACTGACACTGGCAGCCCCTGACGTTTCGCGTCGAACATCTACTGTTGTAACTAACTGCAGGGGGATCTGGCTGTGTACGCCGCAGAGTTGTCGTCGCAGCGCATCCTTCGGCTATTTTACCTCGGCGTCGGGCTCGCCAAGCTCTTGCAGGTCAGAAATACTAGACACATCGGGCGCATGCGATGCTGCCTGCGGTGCCCCTTCCTGGTGCTATGTACCTTATTCGCGACAATTCAGACAAGCCAGATAGAACAATCGTGGTACGCAGAAGTGTGACCCCAAACAGTGACGAGGGTTGTATTCGTGTTACGTTCTGTGCGTTATCATTAGTGCCCTTGGTCAGAAGCTCTCTAAGACTCTAGTTATGGTTAGGGTTAGAGATTGGGTGGTAGGGTTGGACTCCCTTACCAGGAGGTGAATTCGACAGGTGTTAAGCCTGTTGGGACATCTGTACCCCGCTTCGTGATTGCGATTGTGATTTTGACTTGAAGGGACCAAGGACCGTCGTGGTTGACTCGCATATTGCACCTTTCACCGTAACATCCCATCCCATGCCATCCTGTACCATATGTTGTTTTGACATCATGGCTTCACCTTCGTGTTCATGTCAGAGTCTGGCCCTTTTGCTGAACTTGCCAGACACATATATAGTACACCCCAGCATACGTACTCATGGATACAATAAACTGTATGCGCACTTGCTTTGCACCGGCCATGCATGGACAGCAGTCGGTGCAGGCGGCCTGCTTTGTTGCGAGCCCGTGTTGTTAACCTCGTCAGCTACTGCACCATGGTTTTGCGTGAAATCGCACACTAAAGTAATCTGGCCCCCATGCGGCCGCTCTGAGTTGCTCCTCTATGCTTGTAGAGGCCGGATGTCACCTTGCCTACAAAGCCTTTTTGCAAACTTATTTTTTTGGCACTTGGGCCAAACGGTACCCTCAATCCCCTTTCTGCACCCGGTGGACACGCCCGAGACACGCAAAGGCAACAACCAAACCCACAAGTGTCTGTCCCGGTGCTATTGGCCGTGTGCTGTACGTATCGTCTGGCCGCGCTGATATCCTGCCATCGTGTTGACATCTCAACAACGCAAACACTAATGTTGTCGTCCAGTCCAAGGGAGGGCTCGAGCTTGTCCGAGGGATCCTGCAGCTGCTGGAGGAGTGGGAATACCACTTTGCTCTCGCGGGAGTCGCCCATCACAATGTGAAGGCCATGCTGGCTAAGAACATCGACAGCATTGATCACTCAGCGAGGGGGAGGGATGTGAGCGAAGAAGGCGGCGGCAAGCACCAAGAGCAGGTGAGGCAGTTGCCACGGCTTCAAGACCGATCAAAATTGCTGCTGTTTTTTTAATTCAAAAGTAGTGGTGGCGTGCGTGCCATTCGGGCTCATGTATCACGTGTATCATGTGCGATTCAGCGCCATCTCTTTTGGTCTGCTCGTTTGTTCGACGGTAGATACTGTGCGGTCATATTTTTTCTCTTCTTTGCAGTGGCCAACATTACTTACTGAAAGTTCCTAGCAACTCTAATCCAGCCCTTCCCGTTTTGGAGGTCTACATCGGGGTACGTATCATGAGACTGTCGTACCGTCGAGTGGAAAGAAGGCCTCTCGTTTGTCCCTGATTCGTCGATGTCGTTTGTTAGAGGTATGGGGGGTCCCAGTGGCACGAGGCGTTCTCTACCTATGTCTTGCAAACAGACAGTGCCACCTTCCGATACTTTAGTGAAGTGAAAGTGAAAGCAAGACGTGTCGACCAGGCTACGGTATCCGTAGTCTGGTGAAATGAAGCCCACGTCTTATCGTTCCAAATGTTGGTGGCTTTTGGGCAGAAGACGTGCAGCAACTTTTTTAGCGCCTCCTCTGTGAGGGCTCGCGGGCTGGTTGGTCGTGGCCGCTCCTCGTGGCTATGTCGGCCGCGACATGAAGGAAGGAGCACGCGGGGTGAGCGTGCGTGAGACAGTGCGTGTTCCACACACACGCGCGCGCGTGCGCTGCGAAATCTCGTCTGCGTTTGTGTCTCGACCATTATTAAGTGGAGTGGGTGCCACATCTCGAGCCTTCCACGCGCTGACCAAATGTTTGTTGCACGCCCAACCTCTTTGGTTGTTGTTGCTATCCAACCGGCTGTACCCTGTTCCGCCGCAGAGTAGGTGTACGGTACCATACGAAACGATAACAAGGTTACCAGAGGTACTGCTGTAGTATGGTAAGGACCGGAAATCTGTGACTTGATTTACAAGTAAACGGCGTGCGCGCGTGTGTGCTTGCCCTCAGGTGGTGGCGCGTCTCAAGAAGTTCAACAATGAAGTGGTGTACGAAAACTTGCTGACGCCCGAGGTCCCGTTCGCGCTGGACTACTTGGAGGTAGTATTCTCGCTGTGCGAGGTGATGTGCCGCATTTACGCCAAATTTGTGGAAGAGGTGAGCAACAGACAGACAGACAGACACACAGACACACAGGAGGCCAACCCTTCTGTGTACAGTACCAGGGGTGTATCCAATCCGCCAGAATGGGAACTGCAATTGTGCGACATCGTTTTTCATCACTACTGCTGTGCTGTCATGACGCATCATTCAATGCTTCCCGCATCCGATTTTGTGTATCACCCTGCCCGCGCCTCATGGACTAGTGTCGTGGCGGCGGCGGTGGCCACATGCCCGAACATGTAGCATGTACTCATCTGGAGCGCGGTCGGCCGCGCTGCTTTCTTTTTGTTTGGCATGCTAACCCCAACCTATAGGAGTGCTACAAGAACGCCTTCGTGTACGATGGCTTGGTCAAAGTAGACAACAAGATCAAGCACCACATCATCAACGTCTTCGCCAAGGAGTTCACCGACATGAGCGCCAACATCGCCAAAGACGAACTCAGAACCTTGCGCTAGTTGGAGAAACAAGTGCGAAGTATTGGTGTTTTAGAACATAACGGGGTGTCTGGTGAGACGAGGCGTGTCACGGCTGGTTTCGGTTTCAAGGCGGCTCTTACAGAAGGAAGTGTGATGCACAGACATGGTTGTGCAAGCTCTGGTCTACTTGACCGGCGTTCCACTCAAGTGTGCACTTGGTTTGGGGCGCGGTCGGTGGTGTTCTGTTGCATGGACCTCTGAATTTACTGGCCTATCGACGAAACACGCAGAGTACATGCAGCGTACATGCAGCCTGCGCCTACAATAGCGAATTTTTTCCTACCGGCGCAAGCTGCGGCGGGCGAGGAGTCAATCAATCGGCATGTGAGTTTAGTAGTGCATTTAGTGTACAGCTTAGCTTGAGTATGGGGCTGATCGCGTACTTAATCAATTTACGTGTGTCGTTAGTTGTTGGGTACTGAGCCGTGTTTTTTTTTCTTGTTTGTCCTGTTGCCATTGCCATTGTCATTGTTCTTGTTTGCGCAACCGAACAACGGCGGTCAGATGGTGTCTCCTTGAATGCTTTTATCGCCAGCGCTTCACTGAAGCCAGTTTTTTTCAACCGCGATGAAAATGTTGATGCGAGCTTGACTGGTGCATATGGTATGGTGCCATTTTTGTCCGTCTCTTCGATTGTGTGTGTGTTAATTTTGTTTTTGCAATGATCGATCGAGCGATCCCTTGTGGTCCGCTGCAGCTGTTTTGCGAGTTACGGGGGGTGCAGGAGAGGCGTCCGTCTAAAGCGGTCTTGCGGTCCAAACACGCTTTGACGGTTTCTACGTCAGTGAAAAAGTTTCAAGTTTCAACTCCTCGCACCAGCGAGTGTTGAAGTGTGAGCGAGCGCGTTTGGTTTCCTCCGGCCAATTGTTTTTTCATCCGTCCGCCCCGTCGTAGCACTACCGGCAGTGTCAAACGGAACCGTCAGCGACGGTGTTGTGTTGGATACCTCAATCCTCAACACCGTTTGTTTTTCTTTCCCGTGGGGACGATCGATCCATTTAGATCGCTTCTTGTCGATTTGCCTTTTCTTGTCTCGTCTAGTCGTCGTTGATCCGTGTGTGTGTGTGTGTGTGTGTGTGTGAGGAGCGTGCTTTCTTTTGTGTCTTGGTCTTGTTCGCCTTCTGCGTCGTGACTTTTTTGGTAGCTGTCCGGGAAAGCGGAAACGCGTCCTTACCGTGCCTTGATGTTGTAACATGGGTGTGTATGCGTGGCAACGTGTCTCACCAAACGTGTAGTAATGGACCTAACCCCTGATAGGGTTGCAGCGTAGGCGCTACGTGGTGAGTAGATGTGCTATGCAATGGCGGGATGACGCTTACGAGCTTGTGGGGCGTCAACTGTCAATTATCAACTGGGATGTTGGGTCTGGGAGTGGACTGGCTGTGAACCGCCACCTCTACCTTCACAGGGGGCCATAGGGCGTTTTTTTTGTACAGGAGAAAACTTGCCACGGTCGTCCACCTTTCGTGCTTTCAGGGTGCATCTCGGCTCAGTTAAAAGGGCAGGTACACGCGGCCGGATCGGTGGTTCGCGTGTGTATGTAAGTAAAACAGTGCGGGGTTTTAGGTGTGACTTGTGTGATGTTTCCAATGGAACACTCACGGTCCCTCCCTCGCTGTTTGTCCTCTCACGTGTTGGATGGAAAGTTAGGGGCGCGGGGGNTTGTTCAAGATCCAAGAATTACTTCCTAAGTATCGGGCGGGGGGGGGGGGGCTCCGTTTCGGCAGCTTCGGCGATGTATTCTATATATATATCATTGGGATATTGTCACTGTCCGACTGCACTAGCTATAGTATAGCTCTCTCTCGCTCCTGCGTTGCGTTGGTTGTCTGATGCATACTACATGGTTTATTTTATGATTAGGGAAACAGGTGCGATAAACAATAAGCGTACCGCTGGCGCGATGGCATGTGTTTCCTTTAGTACGAGCGCGGGGGGGAAGGCCGAAAGGACAGGGTGTGCCGCCCTCTCAAGAACATGAGCCTTGGAGGCATTCGGGGGGTAAGTTTTCGCGTAATCTTTTCAGACATCATACCGAGGTACATGAGCTACGCACGCCGCCGGTGTTGGTGTGAGTGCCAAGCACACAGGTACAAACGTGTAGCTCAATCTGCTGTTAGGTGTAAGGGCACCGCGACGATACAGGAAGTCACCGATCGTTGTTGTTGTTATGCGCTCCAACATATTGTGAGTGTCGGCAATTTCGCACATGAGTAGATGGTACAGCACTTGCATGGCTTAGTACCAGAGACCGTACACGCCACTTAACCGTATAATTCTTATATTTTGATCGTTACAGCATGTCTGCATGCAGATAGATAGTATCTACAAATGTTAAGGAGCAGCATACAAACATGTGCACACGGTGTGTTATACTACTGTACCCGGTGTGTGCATTTCGCCTACGGCACGGCGGCCACAGTATTGATACTGATATTGATACCAAGCACTCGCGGCCTGCGTATGTGCTATTTCCTGTTTGATGAAAGGATGCCTAGCCGAGACGTCCGTTGGGGTGCGAGGCAGTGATTGTGTCACTGAATACGACTCACGTCCTTTCTCCGGCGCGGTAGATACTATCAGATCGGACCGAACGTATACGGCTGCTGTCAGGACACCTGGCGATACATGGTGCGGGTCCACTCCGCTTGACGTGGCAGTTCGTGAATACGACCATTAGGTATTTCGGCACCCGTCTTGTGACGGGCAATGGGTTCGGCATGGCTGGGAGCGGGGCGACAACGTGCGGCAACCAACAACGGCGCTTTTTCATACTAGCTGGCTGACAGCTGCAAGCACTTGCATTCAGAACAGTGCGGTTCTAACTCAAATGCTGCAGCAACTGGTTTAATATTTTCTTCGGAAATGCAGGGAAAGCCATGTGAATATACCCATAATGCGGCGACATTGGCAAAGAGTCAATGTAGATCTCTTGGCTTAATTCTTTCACTGCTGTTCAACTGCTTCTGTACCACTATTCGATACTGAAAGGAAAGGTGGACCATGCCTCGGATCACAAGGGTACAGTATAATACGGAAATCGATCAGGGTTCACATTGAACTTGCGAAGCACCGAAGACCCCGCACACGTGAGGTCCCGGGAGGCATGTAAATAAATACCACACAACAGCAGCAGTGCTTACATAGTCTACTCGGATAACAAACGCAACACTGGCTCCAGTATCCCACGTCAAGGCTACGTCTTCATGTACAAAAAAAACTACAGCACGCATCCTCGTCCAAATGGTAGGTCAAGCAAGAGGAACAGCAGCAGCAGTTGGGTCGCAGCACACCATCTACGATGAACTGCGGCTGGTGCGGCGCTTTCAAACTGCTCCGATGCCAAAAATTCTGGATGGCATGCATCACGCAGGGCTTACGTAAGCGTGTTGCTTCCAACCTTCACTCACTGGATGAAATTCATCCGCTGGCCGTTACATCGAATACATGTTACGAATACAAGTATTCTATTCTAGCACGTAAAACACTGAAACACCGATATAGTAACTTGGTACCCAGGTTGCCGGGTAAATGCATGGCGTCGTGCTCGCCCAGGGCGCCAGATACTTGAATTAAGCAAGAATCCAAAACGAAATGTGCGACCGCTTAGACCACCCTTTCTCCAACATGAGCACAGAAAATAAATGCACACAGCGGTGCCAAATGTACCGGAAATACAAGGGAGACCGAGGCAAATCGTGTGCCGAAGAGTGCAGAGACCGCAAACACGCGCTGCTGGCTCATATGATATCCTATCCACATCCGACCTAGCCAGGTTCGGCAATTCCAGCAACTCGATAGGCGTCGTTCAATGCCTCTCGCGAACATCAACGTCAACACCCAACCTCATGTCTCAAAACATGTGCCCCTATATGCTGCTACGCATACTTTACCAGCAGACCTGCTCTGTCCTGGACAGCGGGCCGGGCGTGATGCTGATTGTAATACAACAAACTACACGACGGCGCTCATGGGTTCATCCACCGTCCACTCTCCCTCCTGCGTCCAACACGCCAGAATAAGTTAAGAAAAGAGAGCACATGCGACGCGTTCAACGGACAGACAGACAGACAGACACACGAGCGGGCAAGAGGTGAACACGTGAAAATACACACACACGAAACAAGCCAAAGTACGGCAAATTGATGGTCAAGAGAAAACAAGCTCGATTCATGGAGGCACGCTTCCCTTTCTAGCTGCCGCTTCGCCGCACTTCTTGGACTCAACAAAAAATACAAATTATACGGCAGAAAGAGCACGCGCAGGTTGCTCAACTGCGGCATATCGAAGCTTTTCAATTGGATAGCCCTAGGGCTTGATAGCAATTGAACAGCACAGACAATGCGTAAGTCTCGGGGCAAGATCTGGCAGGTTCAGCCGAACAATATCGGCAAGGATCGGTTCAACACGCCTCACCAAAGTCACCAAAGTCACCGAAGTCACTACCAAAAGAACAACCGAAGTCTCTACCTGTTCATGTCACTACGGTCAGCCCATCTTATCAATGGCAGTCTACCTGTGCATGTTAAATACTTTTTTCAACTCATCTTATTGATAGCAGAGCAACCTGAACCGGACTTGTACGCTACTTACAGTACTTACAGTACGTACAGTGCTTACACTTACATCCGAGAAGCGCTGTCGTTGGTCTTGGTCTTCGTCCTCCAGCGGGAAAAAGTCTATCAACGGCGGGGGCGGCGGACGCCTGCTCGGCAGGAGAGCCAGCAAGAAGGGCTGAGGCCCGAACACCTGCTGCCAGTTACCCTTGCACCCCACATCGAATGGGTTGCTCCAAAGCTGCAGCAGCAGCCATAATTCAGGGCGGCAACACGCGAGGCGTGACGATGTGATTGGTTACAGGGATTATTGGCTCTTGCCAATATCACACTCTTGGGTAGTCCTAACGACGAGCGACGAAAGGGAGAGTGTGGCCCAATCCGCCCAGGCCAAGCCACATGGTTACACCTTCAAGCTCCGTTGGCAACCAGAGCTACGAAAGGACAAAAAAAAACTTGCGCCGACAGCAAAGAAATTGCCCCCAGGGCGTCCCGTCTATCCAACTACATAGTCGGCATCTCATTTCATGTGCGTCACCCTAGTGCACTGCTGTTCATTGTTTTAAAATAGCACCGTCTGCGACACCGCAATTCAGGCACAGCAACAACCAACATCTTGTATGTTGTCTTCCTGGCGACGACACCCACCGCCTTGCTACCGACCATCGTAGGAGCACAATTACTGAGAGTAGGGTAGAGATATAGCCTACGCATAGTACAGTACAACAGCCGTTCTGGTCGTGACTACACACAGCAGAGTGACACTCGCGTGCAGTGCAACGGCGCTGTCAGCTCGGGTTCCGCCTTGGTTTCAGCCACCCCGTGTCCCGAATCCCCTGCCTCTGGAGCGTCCATCGCGCTACACAGCTGCCATACAGTATGCCTTTCTCCTCACCTCTCCCCACTGTCTTGCCCTCGAGCGGTGGCTTTGATTCTGGTAGAACTCTATGGTTGTTTGCCCGCTACAGATGAGGTAGATGTGCCATCCCAACAAAACGGAGATGGCGACACCCACAGACAGAGCCAGCACGAAGGTCATCATGATGGCAGAGTGTTGGGTCATCTCCATAGGCGACGGCTTTCGCCGGGCCTGCAACGTGAAAACGTGAAAACCTGTCAGCGTGTCTGTCTGACAGAGTGTATTGAAGTGTCAAATGCATGGTGTCAGTATTTCTTGGGGTGCCGATGCGTCTCGGAACACGCTTTGGTGGGCGTGGGCGCAAAGAGAGCAACGTAAAGGCCATCCTCCAAAGTTGCTGTTGTTGGTGTGCGCAGGATTGTCTAGGGTTCGGAAGAACGACACAACAACGCCCTATACAACGTGGCCGGCGTCATCACAGGTACGATGGATACGGGCGGGTACGCCGGGCATGATATCACCCTCTACAACCATTTTGGGGGTGTACGTCCGATGTGGTTGGCATCGTCACACATCCCACCATTACCATAACCATTACCATTACCATTACCATTACGGTTGCAAAACCTTTACACCGGTACCAACAGGAGACGCTGTGCAACGAATGTCACCACGCGGCAAATAGCAGCAAGCGAGACTCAGAGGGGGTGGCGTGGTGCGTGGTTTCCCGGTCAAGAATGTTCGACACAAGGAATGCACGTCCGGCAAGGATAAGCGACAAAGAACTGCCTCCAATCGACAACAAACCTCGACTCTGTGTTGAGCCGCCTTTAGCGACAATCTCTCTTTTCTCTCTCGCTGCCTCAGGTGAGTTACACAGCAGTACAATTGCAGTACACCTCAAAATTTTCCAACACAGACTTACCCCAGGAGACTTTGCCATGGCCATAAACTGAGGGGCTGAGACAAGCACCGCGTAGACGCAGCCGACGAACATGTACATAAGGAAGAGAACGAAATACCGGTAGTTCAGGTAGCCCACGCAGTTGTTCATCCACGGGCAGTGGTGGTCCATCTGTCCAGCAGCGTCCAGCCAACAAAATTCAGGCACGTGATCAATCGATCGTCTCGCCAAACCATGGGGCAAAAAAAGAGCCGCTGATGTCAAATAATCTTGGGTTCGGGATGTCACTGGCTCACGTCACCAGGGACGCAGTAGCAGTGCACGCAATACACTGCTGTCCACACGGTTGGTCTGCATGTGCAACCTGGTGAATGGTGAATGGTGAATGGCGCAAAATACAGCGGTACCACGCCTAACATCTATCATCACCAACTCGGAACAGAATAAGGAACGTATGAACTGATGTTCTTCCCTCTCTCTCTCTCTCTCTCTCTCTCTCTCTGTCGCTGTCCCTCCCAAGTAACGCTCTAGAGTTCAAGCAAAGCCAGACCTTCCTATTTCAAACGGGTCTGTGGGGAAGTGCCAAGCTGCATCCATCAGATGAACAACTCCCCAACGGTATCGTGCAAAATCCTGTCGCCCTACAAAACAGCTAAACTGCCACCGGCAAAGACAAGGCTTGTCGTGTTGGCATGTCCTCCACGAGAATCCACGAGGGCAAGTGAGCTAGCTGAATACAATAGTCTTGCAGTCTTGTAGTCTTGACGGAACACGGCTCGAAGCGCTAAGCAAAGCTGTTTCCAGTGATACAGTCTCCCGCAGACACCACAACGTGCAGCGCTCTCACACACAATAACGAGCAGCGCAGCACTTTCACGTTCACGTAGGGTTAGGTTTAGGTTTAGGGTTAGGGTTAGGGTTAGGGTTAGGGTTAGGGTTAGGGTTTGGGTTCGGGTTAGTGCAGTGGTCTCACGTTCACGATGCACTGGTTGCAGACGTGGCAGTGGTGTGCTCTGGCGGGCTTGGGCCCCTTGCACTTCTTGCAGTAGCCGCACCGCACACGGACCCTTCCTCCCCCTCCCGCATGCATGCTCCCCCTGCTGACATTTGCGTTGCTGTTGTTGCGTCCCCCTTCCCCGCCCCCATCGGCAGCGGCCGTGCTGTTACCCCCCCCGGCGTTGACCCTTGAGATCGCCGCCCCCTCCGTGATCAATAGGAGAGGCCTGGCAAGCGGAAGCCGTGTGCCGTGCCATCGTGCATCAAGCATTGCCGCCAACGAACGAGAACAAGGGAAGGCCAAGGGGGGGCACGGGAAGCCAAAACGGGTTTTGCAACGTGTACTGTACCAGTGTACAACGGAACGCCGTGGTCTTAACCCCCCTGGTACGCAGTCCCTCCGCAAAAACGAGACATCGCAAAAATGTTTTGTCAGTCATTGGCCGAGGGGCTACAGTCCCTCCAAAGGACCTGAGCTCCTTGCCAGACAAAGGGTGACCTGGGGCTTCAGAATAAATAGTGCCCTCAAAACACGCGGGGACACTTTTCATCGTAAATTCAAGTCAGCATATTGTTCCGGTACCAGGCTATGTGCAGTTTTACCATCGAGGGGACACGCGGCTTGGGAGATTGTGTGCGGCGAGTCAGAAGCCGAGGAGAGGCATCACACAGCTTATTACACAGAGTACGTCACACAAGCATTATTAGACCAAGGGTCCACGTGCGTTTCACACGGCGGAGCCTAGAGGGACTACGGTGCGGCAAGTAGACATGTGAGTGTTGTGTCCCCAAAGTGTCCCCGTTTGGGCGTCCAGTACCATTAATAGGAGGGTTAACCTACAACAGCAGAACACAATGAAAACAAAACCAACAGGCTCTGGTTATCCGTGTAGTGGCAGACTACTATACGCACGTTTTTAGTGAATTCAGTACAGGCACACCACACGACCAACCGAACGCCAAAAAAATGTAAAACTGATTGGCAAGATAGTGGATAGTGGATATTGGCTGCATGCTTCCTCGGTAACATTACCGACATCACATCACGGCATCACGATACCACGACAACAGCGTTGGTGGTCATTTCCGCCCCAGACGAGCGTGCAATCAAGAGAATGGTGAAATGCAATCAAACGTAGAGCATACGCAGACAAGGGCAGGGCACGATGCAATCTAACGTAGGCCAAGCTACAATCCATCGGCCAGCCCTGTGTAAAACACCACACCGACCTACCAATCTTCAAGCGCCCTGAGGTGACCTGGGAGTGTCGTGCAACGCCATGCCATCCGTTGAACGCAAGCACCCATGCCCGCTTATGCGAATGCGTGACATGCAACAAGAACGGAGATTATTACCTTGTCCTCTCTACGACTCAACGACGGCACCTCGGGAAACATATATGTCATGGGTAAGGGTTAGGTTACGTTACGGAAAAGGTTGCGCTAGGTTGGGTTGGGTGTGGCAAGTTACCTGCCGCCCGTTTCCTCATCGTCTTCCGTGAGATCGTCGTCGCTATCGCTCATGCAGCTGGAAGGCAAGAACAGCTCGGGCTTGCCGGGGTGGGTGAAGGCGCAGTGGTAGTAGTTGAAGAACAAGTTGAAGGAGATGAACAGCGCCAACGTTGCGTGCAGGAGATACTGCACCAACGAGGCACGGAACGCGTACACGATTGGGATAGGACTAGGACGGCAAAAACCAGCATCAAGATAAGACCATCACCAGCAGAATATCGTATTCTTACACGACTGCAGTTTAAGTATTCAAAGTCGCATTTGACCAACGCCACCAATGGCAGCGTCGGGATTGGCAAGACTTGACATCACAGGCCAGAATCACGATGAAATGAATACCCATGAGTATTTATTCTCCACGACGACTGACTGACTGCAGTACTCCCCGTGACGGAAAATGAAAATCACGGGCGGGTGTGGGTGTGGAAAGAGGGAAACTGCTGCGCGATGGGGGTGTCCAGTGCTTCGTTTTCTCGGAACAGGACAACACCCGAGCAAAGTCACACAGGTCCCCATGGCCAACCGACAGACTGCGCACGCCCGGGCCCAAGTCAAGCACGGTAGTGGTGGCAGGTGGGCACGCATATGCTCGCGAGCAGACCAAGCTAACACAGCGGCGCCGGTGCAAACATGGAACTACGCGACATGCTTCAACTCACGCGCTAAGGTTTGTCGCGTCTTTGGACAGAACCCTATTATAATAACTTTAAGAAGACACAACCTGGGCAACGGGCGTCCGCTACTGCTCCCAAAGCGCAAAGTAGTCAATACCAGATATTCGGGGCTTGTGCTGAAAGGGAAACGCAGCCGTGGGACGACGCGACCAAAGGAGGAAAGGCAGAAGGGCATGGCAATCACCAAAAAGCCGACAACGACTGCCGCCACTACGGGGCATCGAGGTCTTTCGCAACGATACCCAACGCCGAGCAGAGCACATGTCCTGTCCCCACCAACAGAGGGAATAAACAACAATGCTGTAGCTTTCCTCCCTCGAATGAGGAGACCGCTACTGCGCCCAGGAGGCACCCCATCGCTACAGCAGCGGGTGACATCCAAGGCACAAGGCACACACTTGTTCGTAAGTTGTGCAGCTAGAGCCGCCGAGTAGAAGCAATACATAGTCGGAGTGCCCATACGTTTGTCTCACCGGTAAGGAACCGAACGTGGCCGTGGCCGGGAGAATGAACTTGAAGTACATGCAGATCACGCAAGATATCAGACCCGTCGCGAAGAGCAACAGCAGCGGCCCCATGAGCCGCAGCGTCCAGTCGAAACACACACCTATACCCATCTGGGGGAAAGGGAACCAAGAAACGGAACACGAGGGCAGAGCGAGGACCAAGATGCACGTACCAGGTAGGAGAAAAACGGGATGGGAACAATCATTTCAATGGGAGAGAACCGATGGACAACAGAAATGGAATGGTTCACGGAAGCTCGTAACAGAACCTCATCACCGACTGCAACAAGACTTTCGCTACAATAGAAGACCGCACCTCGGCCGTGCAAATGGTGAGGTAGGTGCTGAGGTCAGGGGAGGCGAGGCGACCTTGGTCGAAAGCAACGGTTGATCCACATCGACACAAGCTGTAGGCCTTGCAAACACTCTGGTGCACTCGTTTTCTCCCTACCTCGGCTACGAGTGTGTACCTGGACCATACCCTAACAACACCGATTGAGGCGGTTCATAGCCGCCCATACGCATACGGGATCTACCATGGTTTCCATTTGTGATGTCATGGCTCACCTGTAGCCAATAGAGGTACTCGAAATTCTGGTTGCTCTGCGCGAGCACCAACAGGTAGGAGGCGGGAGGAAACAGGGCTTGTCTTGAAAACAGATACGCTCGCAAAACACAAGCCCTTGTTGTTCTTGTTGTTGTTATTGTTTACACATAAAAACCGTTCCGGTCTCACTATCCAGGACCTACCTTCATTTCTCCGTGCATTACAATGTGCAGTATTAACACTTCACGCGGTTGATTCCCGTGGTCCAGGCCAACTTAATAAGACCCTTAGTAACATGGACCCAAAGGCAGATGCTGTCGTATTTATGATGTAATTGTGCCACTAAATAGACTGCAGCAGGGCATAATGCCATAATGCTTGTCTGTACAAGTAGTCTACCGTACCCCGCTCATTGTGGTACGGACATGTGCTATGGACATGATTGGATGTTGTTCGTACGGTTCACGCCGTGTAAACGTGTAAATGTCGACCGTGCATGATTTCCGGCCAGACCGATATGCACACTCATCAACCTTGAAAATCTCTGTCTCGTGCAGCAGTACATGGACCACAGCCTATAGTCTAGGCGATTTGCTGTAGATAAGCTACATCTCCGAACCAATGGCGGGAGTTTGCATGCATTTTCAAAGCATTTCGCTGCAAGTGTCCGCGGACAAATGATGGAAGGACTTCGGTATGCCCAGTTTCGTGGTCGTGCGAACTCCTAAATTTTGTTGCGCAGGCAACCGCTAAGTTAGTGCTGCATGTGAGGTTGCCGGCGGGGAGACCAGCCCATCTCAAATCCTCAAATAGCCCGCGTTGCTATCCCACAACTCTATTGATTGATTGATTGGTTCGTCTGTCCTACGCAACGTTCCCACAAGAACCTGCTCTCTCACTTCCAGGGCATCGACAAACTGCCTCCATCGTGTTGGAGTTGGTGCTGATCGTGCTCCGCTTGACCGGCTTCTCTCCGAACGCCGAGGCATGGTGGCAACAACCCCCCTCGAGCTGGATGTACTCCTCTACCACACTCTCGTCTCCCTCCGGCAGTTGCGTGCTCCGCTCGCTCTCGACGACCTACCAGCAAGTAGGACCCGCAGACAGCCAAGGGAGCAGGATAGGTGGGTACCTGCAGGTGTTGAATGATTCCTATACGCGTATGATTTAAGCTGATCTTAGGAGAAACAAATACTTGCAGTTGTTTGTGCGTGGACGTTCACGGACTCCGTGGAACAGGAACCCGAGATGGAGGGGTCAGGCACGCGCTTCGAGATGGAGCTGGAGCTGATGAACTGCCTTGCCAGTCCGGAGTACTTGCATTGTGAGAGAGACACACAGCAGTAGTAGATAGCATCCAACCGTCAGGTCTTTGTGCATGTCCTATTACGCCGCAGTTCCGTCACGTGTGTTACACTGCTGTACTTGGTATTCGGGTTCTGTTGATGACCCAATTACCCGATCCAATGCAGAGCGATGTGGCTCTACACTAACGGTTCTTGTGCTAGGTTCGAGGTTTTTGTCAGTGGGTTGCTCTATGTCTCGGACGGATGTCGCCGAAGATGCTAGATCAAAGACTCAAAAGACCGGGGATGATGGATGATGCTTTTGAAGTGATAACTTTGTCGTTGATCCTGCTCGCTGCTGCACTCAACTCAAGCCGATCAACACTGCTGCTGCTCGACCGTACTTCTGCACTCACTTGCTGGAACCAACCACCGCTTCGAACTCTGTCAACGCACTGGTAACCGGATACTCAAGCTCGCCTTCTACTCCTTGCCCTGGTAGACTCTCTCTTCTGAATTCATGAGCGGCAGCGCTGCTGCTGCTGTACAACATCCTTCACGTACGTCCACAGAAATATGCCAATTCCGCCGCAAAGCGGGAACCGAACCCAAACATCCCCTGAAGCGAGCCTACTTCGTACCACATTCCCCCACACTGCTTTTTGACATGGTGGAAAATTTCACTATGTCCAAAAGTAATCCACAACGTCATGATTTCCTCTTGAGAGAATTTGGCGTGAAGTACTATTTTCCACACTGGAACTGGTATATTCTCGCTCGCGGCCGCTCTTATCTGGCGACAAAATTGACAACACATATCCTCTTGAAAATGGCACGACAAAAGTACTTACAAGGCCATGGAATCCGATCTATCTTCAACAGGGACCCGATTTTTAACTCCACGAGATCAAGCCTTCGTCAACCCTTCAGGCCCGAGGGACCCCACACAAACCACCACACACAAATTCCAAGATAATTTTTCCTCCTACCATCTGCCGTCAAGGAACCCACTTTGCCCCGTACCGCGCTGCCGTGTTTTTGAAACGACAGCCGGCACCAACCCCAAAAATCCCGGCTCAACAATCTTTACCTGACTTGCTAATACCCGATAACTACGAATGCTACTGAACGAAAGCATTTTTTTTCCCGCAAGAAAGTCGTCGTACTCACCCCACAGAAAGGCGGCAACGAACCCCTGTGACTCCCCTCAATCGGACGTTTGAATGTTGAAGTCGGCGCTACCCGACGGCGCAGACCGACCCCCAAAAGGACTCCCAACGACTAAATCAATCGCTTCACGTCGTTTTGTAACTCACACCCCAGCTTTTTGAAGCTATGAAATCCACGCGAGACACATACATCGACGATCCTTTGACCAATGTTCTCCCCACGCGTGTCGGATATACGCGCACTCTCCCAATGCAAGGCTGAAGCTGAAGCTGATTTTTTTTTTTACATATACACAGCACATTGACAAGGACAAACACAGACAGCACTTGACAAGGACAACAGCACTTTGACATCGACACAGCACATTTTCAGCTTCAGCTTCAGCTTCCTTGCGGAACATTTATTAAAGGAGAGCAGACCTTTGGCGGTCTNCCGGGACGGAGCACGCCGGGTTCTCACCGGACCAGGCTCTCACATCATGTCTTAGGGGAAAAAGAAAAGCCAACGAACCTTGCTGCATTGCCTACCCTGGAACTCCAAAGTTCACCGAAGAATGACCACCATGAAAACGATATCATCGCGTTGCAAAAGAGCTTCAAAAGCTTCCTGCCCGAAATTGGAAGAACCACCACGACCCGTTGACCCCCCCATCCTAGAAGTAACGCACGACGACACTCCCTTCGAGGACTCAAACACTCCCGGACTTCGCACCCGCGATGACCAAGGCACCAACAAACCACCCGAAAATTTGAATCGAAATTCCTTGAGGCAGGGCAGCCCACCAACTTTTCAGCAAAAACTCTCAAGTTTCTACCGAACACAGGCTACTGTTGAATGGCCTGTGACTCTCCCCCCAATCCTACCGAAAAAGGACGGCACGTCGCTACCTAGACCCCAGAGCCAAACAGCTACAGCCGACACACCACACCGGAAAAAAAAACACATCATCGGCATCAGAAGGCAACACCAAAGACAAAAATTCCGGAACACACAGCACGCGGAAACAGCAAAAAAAATGTGGCGATGTCGTTCGTCTCGCGTTCTCCTCCCGTCGCGAAAACATTATTCCGCGAGGCTCCGAATTGCTCTCCGCCTCCACCTGGACAAATCCTCGACGGGCCGTGTCGCTTCCCCCCCCACCACGAAAATCCCTCCTCCACAGCGCTCCCCGACCACCACGGCGAAACTTCCACCACAGCGCACCCGTCAGGTCCTGTTCCGCCGGACGCTTCCGAATCGTACGTGCACAAGGGAGCACCACGATCCAGGCGGACCATCCACCGCCGAACAATATTTCGTCGGCGACAACGACACGTTGAAACGCCGCTCGAGGTCGACGAAATTGACGTTGCACGGCAGGTCCCCCTCCCGCGCCCTCGTAACCTGATGTACCACTCCTAGTTGCCAGCCCTCCTGCTTCGTCCGCACGTAAACATGCGCTCCTTTCATCTCCGCTGACAGCAGGGCCGGCCCACGCTCCCACGTCGCCAGTAGCGCGTACCCTGGTGGCACATAAAGGGGATTACGGGAGCGAGCTTGCGCGCGGTGCGCGGCAAGCTTATGTCACGGTGCACTTTATTGTCGGCTCCTGCTTGACGCACTGCATTGCCCACCCAATACTTCACGACAAAGTCACCATACTGCTGGATGTTTGCTTCAGATTCCCAAGTGGGTTGGCGGTGTCCGCGCCAACGCGTTTCGTATTGCACCGCGATGGAACCCCCTGGACCTCTGCTGATACGGTGACCGGTGATAGCGGTCGGCTGTGCACGCTGTACGTCAAGCTCTATTTCCACATCATCCGCGGTGAGGTAGAAGGGAGGCGCCATATCCGCAATTTTTTCAAGACGTAAGAACAAATTTTCCAAGGTAAAAAGTCGGGGATTTCCTCGGGTTCGTCCGCACGATGGCAACGCTTACACCGCAACACTGAGACACGGTTGGATTTGGCCTGTGTGTCGTGCGGTAAATCCAGATACAGCAACTTGGACCCAACTTCCATGTCGTCAAAGCGACAGGGCCCTACAGCAAGCACTTTCAACGGCCCTGTCCACAGGTTAGCGATTTTCGCTTTAATCCTATTGGCAGAAGCTGTTTTATCGCCATTCGCTGTACGGAGGGTGTGCTGTGGATCGTAGCACCACACCCACGTGCCCGCGTGGAAAATCAGCCGCTTCGTAATGAGGTTGTCTAGATCTTCGTTGCGTGCTCGGTGTTTTTCTTTCGTGAGCCTGTCTCTTTCAACCACTAGCTCGTAGGCTTTCGCTTGCCGGTCTTTCATGAGCTGGAGGTATTCTAGATCATCCCGTTTTTTCGATTGCATGCCAGAAACCACCTTCTGTGACCCAAGAACCGTCATGGGTAAACGAGGATACCGGCCAATATGTACTTCCATGGGCACAAGACCGGTAGCTTTGCTCACGTGATTGTTGTGAGCGTACACACACGGCAAGAGATGGTCGTCCCAATCCGTTCGTTGGGCGCTGATCACATAAGACAACATCTGGCAGACCGTATGGTTTAATATTTCGACGCACCCGTTGGTTTGAGGGTGGAATGAGCTGGTAAACCGTTTCTTGGCCCCAAGCAATCGGTACATATCACGCGCATCAGCCGCCGTAAACTCGCCACCTCTATCCGACAACAAGTACACCGGACATCCCCAACGCGTACAATAATCGTCGGCTAGCTTTGAGGCACACCCCAGCCGTTTTCTCGTCGGCAGAGAGGGCGCAGGGTTCGGCATGCCTGCTAAACAAATCGACGACCAGCAACACGTATTTCCCCCGGCCGAGAGGGTGAGGGAAGCGAAATCAACGGCCATCTAGGTTTTCGGCGAGTCGTTTTCGAGGCTTGACACACAATGCAATGTTTAATGAACCATCGCACGCTGGCACTCATGCCAATCCAAAAATAGTAACGCTCGAGGGAGGCCAGCGTCACGTCCTCTCCTAAATGACAACCTTCTGTGTGCACCGCATTTAGCGCCCACGGCCGCAAAAGAAAAGGAACATACAATCGGACCGGTTCATCCCCCAAGCGTCTTTCGAATTTACCGCCTCTGTGTCGTTGGGCGCGAGATGTAGGCGCTTCGGACGGTTTCTTTTATCAGCAGCACGTGGTGGGCGTCTTTGGCCCCTACCGGTTCGGAGCGAGGCAAATTCACGAGTATGCATTTGCCCGCCAACTTCTGAATCTTTTTAAGAGTGATAGTACCCTCATCCCCAATACAATCGCCCATATCGGGAAAACTAAAAGAGTCAGAATCACCCACGTACTTGATGACGTAAGACGCCAGGGGGTCTCGCGCTTGCTCGGCGGCCCACTCGAGGTCGGACCTGTCGCACAAGGGCGCCCCGAATCGACAAGTCGACTCGACGCGCGCGTCGGTAGCGAGGATTGGGCCCTGGGCGGCGGCCGACGGGGAGCGGCGGGCGGCAGCGGCTCGTCTCGATCTGGACGATCTCGGGGCCCCTCAGGTGTCGAAGCTGAGACTCGGCGCGGCCTCGGTGGACGATCACGGGACTCCTCAGGTGCCGTGACAGCCGTAGCGGGCGTCGGCGCGGCTGGACGCCGGGCGCGACGACCGGCCCCGCGAGGAGCCGGTTATTCCACCGCGGGGTCGGCTGGGGGAGGCGTTCTCTGGCACCGGTGACGGCGACCGGCCCCGCCAGGAGCCGGTGTGTCCTCCGCGGGGTCCGTCCGGGACGGCGGTGTCGGACCCCGGGCGGCGGCACGACGCGCCGGACGTGCGGCCGAAGCCCCGCCGCTAGCCGGCGCAGCGGTGGCAGCGGCGGACTCAGGTGCCTCCTCCCGTTCTCGAATCTTCCAGGAAGGACGACGGCTTGCTCGGGCACGAGGTGGCCGA